ACCACCTCCTTGGCTCATCAAAATGCAGGTTTGTGTGAATATCTGGTACAGTCCTTTTTGGTTTGTCGTTTTATTTGCTCTGTTGCTTGAGTAGTTAATCATCTTAGTTGAATTCCTTGACAAGACTGTTAGTTTTCCTCATGATTGATTTATAAATTTGTGACAGAGATATGGTCCTCCTCCATCTTACCCGCATCTGAAAATTCCTAGCTCGAATGCTCCTATTCCACCTGGAGCTAGCTTTGCTTATCATCCTGGAGGCTGGGGCAAACCTCCTGTTGTTGAAGTGAGCTTTTATGATTCTTGCATTCATGCTCTCATAGTGTTTGCAATATTTTATATGGTTTTTTGTTCTTTGGTGACTGATTCTGTGAAATTTTATTATGTAGTTTGATGCCCGCTATATGGAGATGTGTTCGGTGTCCAACAGCAAGAACAGTCTAATTATGAGGTATGGAGATATCCTTTTCTCTTGGTTATTCGACTGTTATGAACTTTAGCAAATCCATTTTTCTTGGAAATTTTTTTTTGGGTAAGGTTTGGAAATTGAATTAATAGAATAAATCCTCCCTTATTGTAACAAACTTGGTGGGCATGCAATTGACATCTTCCTTTGTTAAGAATACAAGTTTCCATGTTTCTATGGTTTTCTTAATAATGACCTCTTTTTTTTCATATTCCTTAATGATAACAATATTGTTGTTGTCTCATTGTGCATTTTACTTTGATTGCAGGAGGAACCTGTTGATAGGAGTACGCATTGGGGCGAATTGGAGGAAGAAGAGGAGGAGGAACAGATGGAAGAAGAGGAAATGGACGCTGGCATTCAATCAGTTGACAGCCTCTCCAGGTTCTCTCTCTCTCTCTCTCTCTCTCTCTCTTTGTGCCCTTCCTCCCTCCCTCTCTCTCTGCCCTGTGTTTAATAAACTGACTTTTTTAGGTTCCCCACAGCACGTTAACTGGTGTGGAGACACCTGATGTCATTGATCTCCGAAAGCAACAGAGGAAAGAGCCAGAGAAGCCTCTTTATCAAGTGAGTACATTGAAAGATTTTAGTTATGACCTTCCATTGAGCTACATTGGTATTTTAGTGGATAACTTTTATCATAGGGGTATCTTAGTAGGCCATCTTTTGTTTACCATTTTATTCACGTGGAGTTTACTCCAAAATTTACATTTTCTCTTGTTCCACTAAGGTACTCGAAGAAGAAAGGATTGCTTTCAGGAACCTTACTCAGAACACGTATGTCGTCACCTTAACTAGTTGGTTACCTGACCATCGCTTTCATGAATTTTAGGACTTCTTTTGTGCATATTTTTATTTCTCATAGTGGACTCTTTCTTTGAGAGAAGGTTAACATAGGGAAATTCTTTATTTGGTTTTGACAACTTTTTCCCGTGGACATGTATTGGCTTGGGGCAACAGACAGCTAAAAGGGTAAGCGAGTTTTTTCTTCCGAACCTTAGTTTTATTCCATGGGAACTTAATTACTGCTCAAATTGTTGGCTATATGGTTTTTCTTTTTTTTACTTATAAATATCTGAAATTCTTTCGACCTTGTGCGAATTATCCTCTGCATTTTGTCATGCCGATTTCACATTATCCTTACCTAGGTTGAGCTATTGCAAGGGCAAAAGTCAGACAAAGTGGATGTCACTCTTAGGCCGGAAGAATTGGAGGCTTTGGATGATGTTACTCTGGCAGCAAATAAGCGTTTTTTGATAATAGGAACCGGGACTCGTGATGCGCTGTTTAATGCAAGCATTCATAGTTTTATTGGAGTGAGTGATTCATCATGGGGTGGGCATCGTGCAGGTATGAGGAAGCAAGGGAAGAGGAGAAGCCGCGGAATCAACTAGAGGACTTCAGTGACATGGTGGCAAAGGTTTGTTCTGTGTGCATTCTGGAGTGGGGTGGAATTTTTGCTCATGTTGGTTGTTGGATTCTCATGGTTTTTTTTTTTTTAAACTCTGTGCAGGCCGAGAAAATGAGGAAGTGCAAGATGAAGGAAAAGCAAAGAAGAAGAATTTCAAGTTTTAGGCACATAGGTATACAACGATTTTGCAAAGCTTGAATGCTCCCCACCCATTGGATAGATTCTGTTTGGCCAATATATTGTGAGCTCTGAAATTGGAAGGATCAGGTATTATTAACAGGTATAATGTGAAGTTCTTTGGTCCATTTTCGGCCCATCTTGGAGCGATCAGTGAATGGACAGGGCAGCTAGCTATACTATTGATGTTAATTAAGGATTGTTGTTTAAAGGGAAATAGTTAGTGAATCCATTCAGAGGTTATCAAGGAATCTAAACTGTGCCTGGATGAGCTTGGTGGACTGTTGCAAGTGATTTTGTCTTCAGTTTTCCTTTAGGCTAGTGGGGCCACTACCAATATGATGTGATGATCTTGTTTTGTCTTTTGTTTCTTCTCTTATTTTCCCCTCGCTTTTGACAAACTTCAGACACTATCTAATTAGCATTCTTATTAGCAAAGAAATGTCCACTGACATGAAATAAGTGGGAGCCACAATGGCTCATACTCTAATTTCTTGAGGAAAGCTTTTAATTCTCAAATAAAACTTCCACAAACTTTATAAAGAGATGCCAAAAATTCCTTGAACTTGGATCCTCTTGGAAAAATCCTCCAATTAGAAAATAACAACTTAAGAAGGCAAAAAAAAAAACCTCCCATGCTCAGGGATGGATGCAAGATCAGGAATAACGATAAAGCCTCGGTACCATTATGAGAAACCCCATCCTGAAAAATGCCTTTGCAGCATAGATAGCCTTTAATAGTTAGGCATGGTTAATTAATGGATTTGCCATGTCTTTTGAGTTTGCAACAATTGACATTCTTAAAAGATATGTTTAATATATATAATTTGATTAAAATAAACAATATAAATTACTATAATTTTAGTTGGATGGTATAAAAGTAAGGGTGTGGCTTTTATAAGGTTCCAACTTTAAACAATTCAATTAAGGCGCATCTCCAAATTTTATTATAACATGTAATTTTGGCATAAATTTCTTAAAATTATCTGAAAATTTATTTTCATATCTAATTATAGAATTTTAAACTCCAAAAATGGTTACAATCAAGTAGACATATAAACATATGACAATCTTAAAAACGGACGATCTAGATAATGTGTTGCAAGATGCACTATTTTTGGGACTCAAAAATCTTTTTATACATCTCGATGTTGAGATAATCAATTAGAGGGCTTTTCAATATTAAAACAACTTTTTCAGATGGATTTTTTATGTGCATCTTTATTTCTACATTTTAAGGTTACAACCTTATATACACTTTTTCTAAACGTAATAGGGAAAATTACAACCCCCTTCCAAGTATATTATTTGTGCAACTTACCCCCAGCTAACATTTCCTCTCATATTTTTCCCCCACAACCACCTTTTCTCACAAATATTCCCCCCAATCCAAATAAAAAATAAAAAAGAAACTAAACTACCCCTCTCTCTCCTCGTGGCTTTTACCATGACTCTCTCCTCATGCATTTTAAACGCTTCCGCAATCTATTTAAACGCTCCGACAATGAGGACAAGACGCTCCAGTCATAGAAAGACTTGCTCCGACAGTACACCTTCTGGAGCCAAAGTGCTCCGACAGTTAGATAGGTCGCTCTGGCAATGAGGACACATGCTCCAGCAATGCAAGGACTCGCTTCGACAATACACCTTCTGGAGCCACAGCGCTCCGTGGTTGAATAGGTCACTCCAGCAATGAAAACAAGCGCTCTGACAGTGCAAAGACGTACTCCGACAGTACACCTTCTAGAGCCACATCGCTCTGATGGTTGAATTGGTCGCTCCAACAATACGCTACTTAGGACCGCCAATTGACACTTTTTTTTTGCATGGAAATGGCATTTCCATCCAACAAAGAATAACTTTTTACCTTGAGGGGTTTTTACCAGGAAAAATAATACTGGGGAAAAATGTGAGAGGAAAGGTTCACTGGAGGGTTTATTGCATAGATAGTATTTTTGGAGGTTTTTGTAATTTTCCCAAAGTAATATTGCTTAAAGGATAATATCAGGTTTTAATAGTCTTAAAAGATGCGTTGTATCTACAACTAAAATAGGGAGTGCAAAACACAACTTTACTTCTTCGTATCTACAACTAAGATAGGCAGTGCAGGACACAACTTTACTTCTTCTAAAATAAGGTTGTCTCATATGAAGTATACCCAAAAGACAGAATGTGTAAAAAAAAGAAGCTAATAGGCGTGCCTATCACAAGAGAGATCCTCGAATTCATACTTTTGAGTACCAAGGGATGTGAAGTGAATTCCCAAGAAGGTTGCAGTTTGCATACGGATGCATCCGTAGGTGTTAGGTAAATTCTCAAGAATGGTGCAGTTTGCATACGAATGCATCCGCAGGAGTAGAGGTAAGGGGCACCTTTAAATTTTATTATGGTATATAATTTTGATGTAAAATATCTTAGGATTATCTCAAAATCTACTTTTATATCTAATTATAAAATTTTAAATTTCAAAAATGATTAAAATCGAATAAACCTATAAGCATATGAAAATATTAAAAATTGACGGTCTAAATATATTGTAAAATACACTATTTCTGAGACTTCAAAATCTTTTTATTTCTCATAGTCATATCGAAATGATCAATCAAAGTGTTTTTCACCATTAAAACAACCTTTTCCGATAGATTTTTAAGAGGCATCCGTAGTTCTACATTATCTACATTATAAGGTAGCATCCTTATATAAATTTTTTCCTCCCAAGAAACCAACAGAGGGAAAGAAAAAACAAGGCAAAACAGGTTGTGTTTGTTTCATGGTAGAGGCCCCTCTTTCACAAAGTTTTGAAAACTGCCATTTTGATAGGTGTACATGAAAGTGGCAGCTCCCTAAAGACGTCAATTGATGTTATATTTAGGGCCAATGGAAGGTGGCTTCCATGAAACAAGCACAAATACTTGCATCTGCCAACCCTCCGTCCCATCTTTTAACATGTAATGCCCTCTTAATATATTCCAGATTGAAACATCAGTGAGCCCACATTGCCCCCCATCAAAATCACATGGTGGACAAAAGCTAGCACAAGAGTTCGCAAATAATATAATTCAAGACATGTTAATTCAAATGAGTAAGCCCTAAACATAATGTGAAGACGACCTTAAACCTATCACGTTTTGAGTAGAGGGAAAAAAATAATATTAGAAGCAAAGATCGAATTAGCAGCAAGTCGCCAAGGAGAACTATGATCAAATCTTCAGAAAGGTTGGAAATAGCATCTGCCTTCATCTACCCCTCCAGAATGCCCAACGAGGGAGAGTAAAGTAGGATGAGTCGGAGGAAGCATTAGCAGTATTGGACTCCCTTTGTGGGGGTGAATCCTTGGAGCGCCAAAACTTGAGCACGTGCAGGCTCTCCTCTTCTGTCGACCTTTGCACAATTATCCGAGATTCATAGCCCTTTTCTCTCATCATGAGGCAAATCTCTAGAGGGTTGTTAGCAGTAAGGGTAACCAAATAGAACCAACCTCGGATCGACAACAGGTGTTGGACCACCAACAATATGCGGTCTATGACTCTTCGTCCATGCTCCCCTCCTGCCCAAGAGGCGGCTATTCCATGACACCCAACCTCTTCCTCAGGAGTCGGGACGTAAGGAGGGTTCACCACCATCACGTCCACCATCCCCACCAACCGCCTATCCAAACCGGATGCGATGTCGGTGCACACTATCTCGGCATGCACACCGTGCGCTTCAAGGGTCTTACAGGTTACTTGAGCTGCAACCTCATTGAGGTCAGTGGCCATATAATGAACCCCCGTTCTCCCTTGACTAGCAAGCATGATGGCTAGGGATGTGATAACATAACCACTCCCACAACCAATCTCCATGCACAAATTTGGCTTGAACTCCACAAGGTTTGCTCTCTCTGCTAGAAGGGCATCAACCAATGCGAATGAGTCATCACAAGGTTCATAGACCTCTGGGTCTGAAGCCACAAGTCGGATTTGAGCACATCTAGATGAGTTCCCAGAACATACCTATAAACGGTTTCATTTACAAGGTGTGAAAGTAGTTTCAGATGGGGAAAGCAAGCAACAATTATCTCCATATGACATGCACCCAAAAAATACAAAAAATTCTAAAACTTGCCTCTCATTATAGAGAGAGAGAGAGAGAGAGAGAGAGAAAGAGAGAGAGAGAGCATGGACACACAGTAATGATGGTAAAGGCACCACCCTTGCAAAAGGGTGCTTTTCATGTTCAAACCAATCTACAATAAAGATAGTGTGAATACTGGTCCGACCAGATCACATTGTCAGGATTTATCATCTGGGGGGATGATAAGAAATGACAAGTAAAGAAAATACAAAAAAGAAAGACCATACAACACCCTTGCTGGTAAGAAAGAACATACCAAATCTAGATGACAGCGTCATCTAGATGTTTGCCTTTCCCGTGGCATGTAAAGTTTTGTTAGTAACAATAGAATTGTCATCTTTCTAAGAAAATATACCACACTTTGGCTGGCACTAGCCCAAATCCAGTGAGACTAACAAACATCGCACACCAGTTAAATAAAATTGCATACTGATTTTATAAGAACTTCTAAAAAGGGTTACTTCAATGATTGTAGGGAAACATACCAACGCATTGTTCGCTTCATCATGTTCCTTTGTCATGGAAGGATTGGCAGTAGTTACAGGTCCTACTTCTATACTGTGGTCCATTACAATTCTCCAACTTTCTGAAAATATAACATGCCAAAGCCGATAGGATTGGAGCTCAGTTTGCAAATATCATCTGGGCAAGGCATATGCATGTGCAAGGATGCATGCTACACAAATACAAGCAACCTTTAATGATCATTATGCACACAGACATGCACTAGAGAAGACATCCTCTGGATGATGAAACCACAATGGAGCAACTGATCCAGAAGGGTTATAGCAACATTTACAAAACCCACATGCAAGTCAATGCTAAATACGCATCTATCTTTCTTGTCATGCTTAAAGTAAAACGATAACCTGGAAATTTCATGCGCCATATGAGAGGTGCAACAGACAATTTAACTGGTGAGCTTACTAAGTTTTCTGGCTATCCCTTCAAATATGAGAATATAATACTAGTAGACATCTTCATCAAAAGGGAAAAATAAAATTAGCAGATATTCTAATGGCTCCTGGAACAAGTCTTTACAGATAATTGATGGACAACGATTAGCAGCGAGTAGCAAGCAGTACAACACTCCTCTACAGGTTGGCCTTTATATCTGGTCACACAAGAATTTTGTTTATTTATTACTAGCAATTGGCGTGTGCTACATATGTTGCAGAAAGGGATAAATTAGTTTTAAAAGAACTTCATCGGCATGGAGAGAGAGACATATTATTGCATTTCAAACTGTTTGCCATCTAAACGGATACTTACAACTACACTCTGTACAACACCAAGCACTCTAATGGAATCGGTCAAATTTCACTATCTTTAGAGTCACAAATTTATGAAAATTTAACATTTCCTCTCTCTCCAGAAAAGTATACAATGACCTATACAACCACAAAGTATCTAGTCAGCCTGGCATCAATTGATCTAATCAATGTTCTGCTGGTCACAAAGACTGGGGTGCACAACAAATGTGATACTCTCTTCCTATCTCAGGTTTCATACAACCAATTCTATTGTCCATTAGAGCATGCATAGAAAAGCCAATGCTCAAATGTTCCCCAAATAATTATCAACGAAAAAATGTGACTTGCTTGAAACTACATTAAAAATCTCAATATGAAAGTCTGGGAACATTAAGGAATGAAGATCTCACTCAAAATCCCAAATAACCCTAATGCCACCACCATACAGCTACTTACCTACACCAACTCAAAGATAGCAGCAAGCCATAATGCACCAAATCCAAGCAAAGCTTATTTTTTTCTTTTTTTTCAAGTGTTAACATTTGTATTAAGTGTGAGTAGAAGTACAAAAACAGAAATTAAGGCTGCCCACAGATTGGGTGCTCAGTACAAAAAATGAGATTTAGACAAAAAAAAAGCTATACATCCAAAAAAAGTGGCAATGCCTTAGGTATGACAAAAAAGAAAATAAAGTTTGCAGGACCATTAGCTCAAAAAGCTGCCAAAAAGGTCCCAGTCGTGCCACTTTCGAGGGTTCCTTCTTTAGCGAGGCTGTCAGGTACTGAGTTGGCCTCACACCATGCATATCTCCATCAGATATGCATCGGCCTGAGAATGTGGAATATTTTGTCAAAAATATGCCTAAGTCTCCACAGGCAGGATGAGGCCTTTGAGACCCAGGAAATGAAATTTATGGAGATCCCCTTGATAACCAAGACATGGTTCCCATTACGGTTAAAGTTTTAAGCCCTTCAAGGATGGCAAGAGCATCCGGCCGTGGTGGATTCCGATGTCCAATGATTTGGAGAAGGATAGAAGGGTAAAGCCATCCTTATCTCTAAAGATAGTCCCCACTCCTACTGGGCTGGGGTTGGTGAGGGAGCAACCGTCACAATTTAGCTTAGTTTGGCCTAGCTCTGGTAGACCATCTCCGAAGGGAGTTTAACATGGCCTGCCAATCTTGTGGGAAATCAATGATGCCATGAGAATTTACGATTACTTGCCCAAAAAATGACCAATATTCTGGTCCGGTCTATTAATGGACCAATGGTGGACTCCTCCTTGCGGAAGATCCTGTGGTTTCTTTCGGCCCAAATCATACACAAAGAAGAATGCCCAACTTCAAACAGGGTAAGGATTTTATGAAGATGAAAAGGAGGGGGACAAATCTACGAGTCACCCACTTCCAATTGAAGAGTTGTAGCAGGTCCCCACATATGGCCCCTGCTAAGTCACAATGGATGAAAAAGTGTGCATTGCTATCTTCATTTGCTTTGCACATCGGACATCTGCTGGGGATTGGCAATCCCCTCCTTTGTAGTTGGTCCACCATCAAAGCTTTCTCGGACATTGTTATCCAGCTGAAAACCTAGACTTGCCATCGCAACAATGGATCCCCTGTTGGGGGGGTTGCAGTGGGAAAGTTGGGGCTAGTTGTAGTTTATGTTAGAAAAGGGACACTCGAAAAACCCTCAAGGTGGTCCATATCATTTAGACAGAACCAGTTATGGAAAGGAAGGTTAATTGTAGTAGAGAAGACAGGGCCTCAAAATCCGCCAATTCATCGTCTAATAGGGGCCGCCTAAAATTGGGGTTCCAAATGCTTGAGCTTCCCAATGTTTCAAATTAATCCAAGGTTTCAAATTGATCACCCACAATAGCAAAGCGATCTGATGATGTGCAAAACACATCAAGTGGACACAAACAGAAGAACAAGAAGACCAAGAATTACTTGAGATAATTTTCTAGCTATCTAGGGTTATTTTAGTTTATTTTTAATGACTTTTATTTGCTGGACCAATTAGGGACTTTCTAGGAATTCTATTTAAAACCAGGGTGTTTATTTTTAAGTTACATTTAAGTTGGGACTGTTTTAGCCATTTTAAGCCAGGTAAAGAGAATTACAAACTTTCGTGCTTAAGTTAGGACACGAGGGTCAATTTCTTGTGTGTATAGGCAATTAATGTCCTCTAAACATTAAATACATAATGTAAAGTGATGCGGGGGTAGACCAGAGGCCATTCATGTGATCTATTTTTTAGAAAAGAAGAGTAAAAACTCAAGGCTTTTGAAACCCTAGCTTGGGTGCAAAGAAAGAAATCGTAGCTTACTCTAAATAAGTGATTGTGATTGGCTTGTTTTCTTTCTGATTTTATTGTTTCCTTCAAGTTTCCAATGCAAATTTTCTTCAACAACAAAGTGAATAATATACAACCATGTCTAGGGTTGGCTGATTTTAGGCCAAGTTTTGCTAAATTCAACCTAAGTCTTGCTGGTTTTAGAGAGGTTTTTGTTGATTCTTTTATGTTGATTCTTTGCTTAGGGTTTGTGATTTCGGCAAACCCACTTCGTAATACCAAAGATAAAGAAACTAATGATAGTAAAAGGCAAGTTCCGCAACCGACGCAACAGTTTACGAGTATCACTCATGGGCAAGGAGGTGATCTTTAGGCCCAAGAAGATATTGAATACAATCCTTTTCACCGTCGCACTCCATTTGTGGAGTTGAGTGATGAGGATAGCAACAAGAAGCCAAGATGTGGGGTGCATCGTTCTAGGGATGTCAATTTGAAAGTAGATATACTTGATTTTGACAGTAAGCCTCAATCCAAGGAGTCATAGATTGGTTAAATATTGTAGAAAGAGTTGTAATTATAAACTAGTTCCCAAAAATAAAACAGCGAAAGTTATAACCATAAAATTAAAGAAGGGTGCCACGGCATATGGTGGGAACAACTTAGGGCTAGTAAGGAGAGAAAGAAAAAACCCAAAGTTAATACCTAGGAGATGATGAAAAAGAAATTAAAGGAAAAATACATATATGAAAATTGTCTCCAATCCCTTTATCATAAGAAATAACCTTTGTTTGGGAGGAAAGAATATAGAGGAGGATACCGATGGATTTATCAATTGATGGCTCGTAGTGATGTGGTAGAAAAAGAGGAACAGTGCCTAGCTCGCTATGTTGGGGGGCTGAGGACATCCATACAAGACGTAGTGGTTTTGCAGCATTACTATACCTTAGACTAGGCTTACAACCTAGCAGTTAAAGGCTAAAGCTCAGCAAAGGTGTCTATCATTAAGGTGGGGTATAGCCTCGGGTAGTACAAGTGCTGTGGAAGCTAATTCAAGGGAAAAAGTGGGAATTTGGTGGCTGTACAGTCTTCACGATCGGCTAATCCGTCCAAACAGCAAGATGCAGTGAGTGGTGGCGCCAATTTAAGTCATCCAAATCGCCCAAACAGCAGCATCATTAAGTGCTTTAAGTGTTGGTGTATCAGACAATTCTCTTCTCAGTGTCTAAATAGAAAATTGGTAAACCTTGCTGAGGAGTATCCTAAAGATAATGGCAAGCACCACAATTTGGAATGATGAGACTCCTCGAGGAGCTGCTCTGCTACACCAACTTCACATATGGCTTGCTGAACACTTTACCCACCTACAGGTTTGATTCCACCTAGACAATTTGGTTTTAGAACTTTAAGTTCTTTTGAAGATGAAAGGCGTTTTCTTGAAGAGATGTTCTTTCCTCAACTAAGAAAACAACCAAATGTATCAATACCCAGTTCATCACAAATCCTATACCTAAACCCTCAGTTACCTCTACACCAGTAACAATCCAACCAGTTCAACCACATACTATTCCTCAGGCACCCAAAAAAGAAGCCCAAATGTTTCAGTCATCTGATACTGAACCTGATGTCATAGCCTCTTCAGTTCCAACCCAGTTGATTTCTCCCAAACCTTTGAATAATATGAGTTCATTCCTTAAAAACCTGACAAAACAACCGGAAGTAAATCTTCAAACTGAAACACAATCCTTAGAAGAAATGTCTGATACTTCTGAAACTTTTGAAGATAAATCCTCCTCTTCTTCCCTGGATTCAAAATCTTTATTAATGATGAACCCCCCTGAACAACCTCATGAACCAAACCCAGACCCTGTCATGGAAGAAGAATTTAGACCTCCTAACCAACAAGAACCTCAACCTACCCAGACCTATGGAGATTCATCTAAAGGATTTACTATTGATGACATTCCACCTTCACGATGGAATGATAGATTCAGAGAGATTCAAGGATGGATGCATTCAGAAATGCTTAACCCCGCAAA